GGTTTCGAACCTGGGACCTTCCCGTGTTAGGCGGATTGATCCACTACACCATGGGTACAAAAGGGGTTTAAAGGATGGTCCGTAACGGTTCTGAAATGGATTCTATTCAAAGATCCTCGAATGTCTCACAGAATGCGAGTTAAATAATAAAAAAAAATTTCAAACTTTGGGATCAACACAGAAAATCGCACAGATGCCTCATCTTACTGCAAGTAAGAGCGGAAAAGAAAAAAAAATTATCCTAAGCCCACCAAATTTTTCTGTAAAACAATGTACCCCAGGTTTCGAACCTGGACCTTCCGGTGTTAGGCGGATGTGATAACCACCACCATGGGTACCAAGGGATTAGAGATGGTCCGTAACTGGTTCACGTGAAATGGATTCTATTCAAAGATCCTCTGAATATCTACGAATGCGAGTTAAATAATAAAAATTCCAAACTTTGGTGATCCAACACAGAAAATCGCACAGATGCCTCATTTACGCAAGTAGGCGGAAGAGAAAAAATTAAACCCTAAGCCCACCAAATTATCTGTAAAAACTAATTTACCCACCAGGTTTCGAACCTGGACCTTCCGCGTGTTAGGCGGATGTGATAACACTACACCATGGGTACAAAGGGATTAGAGATGGTCCGTAACTGGTTCACGTGAAATGGATTCTATTCAAAAGATCCTCTTAATATCTCACAGAATGCGAGTTAAATAATAAAAAAATTCCAAACTTTGGTGATCCAACACAGAAAATCGCACAGATGCCTCATCTTACTGCAAGTAAGAGCGGAAGAGAAAAATTTACCCTGCCCAAACAAATTATCTGTAAAACTAATGTACCCCCCAGGTTTCGAACCTGGGACCTTCCGCGTGTTAGGCGGATGTGATACCCACTACACCATGGGTACACAAGGGATTAGAGATGGTCCGTAATGGTTCACGTGAAATGGATTCTATTCAAAAGATCCTCTGAATATCTCACAGAATGCGAGTTAAATAATAAAAAAAAATTCCAAACTTTGGTATCCAACAAAGAAAATCCACAGATGCCTCATCTCAAAGTAAGAGCGGAAGAAAAAAATTTATCCAAGCCCACCAAATTATCTGTAAAACTAATGTACCACCAGGTTTCGAACCTGGGACCTTCCGCGTGTTAGGCGGATGTGATAACCACTACACCATGGGTACACAAGGGATTAGAGATGGTCCGTAACTGGTTCACGTGAAATGGATTCTATTCAAAAGATCCTCTGAATGTCTCACAGAATGCGAGTTAAATAATAAAAAAAAATTCCAAACTTTGGTGATCCAACACAGAAAATCGCACAGATGCCTCATCTTACTGCAAGTAAGAGCGGAAGAAAAAAATTTATCCAAGCCCACCAAATTATCTGTAAAAACTAATGTACCCACCAGGTTTCGAACCTGGGACCTTCCGCGTGTTAGGCGGATGTGATAACTCACACACTGGGTACACAAGGGATTAGAGATGGTCCGTAACTGGTTCACGTGAAATGGATTCTATTCAAAAGATCCTCTGAATGTCTCACAGAGAATGCGAGTTAAATAATAAAAAAAAATTCCAAACTTTGGTGATCCAACACAGAAAATCGCACAGATGCCTCATCTTACTGCAAGTAAGAGCGGAAGAGAAAAAAAATTTATCCTAAGCCCACCAAATTATCTGTAAAAACTAATGTACCCACCAGGTTTCGAACCTGGGACCTTCCGCGTGTTAGGCGGATGTGATAACCACTACACCATGGGTACACAAGGGATTAGAGATGGTCCGTAACTGGTTCACGTGAAATGGATTCTATTCAAAAGATCCTCGAATGTCCGCAGGTTAAATAATAAAAAATTCCCAAACTTTGGTGATCCACAAGAAAACCCAGTCCTCATCTTACAGCAAGTAAGAGCGGAAGAGAAAAATTTATCCAAGTCCAACCAAATTATCTGTAAAAACTAATGTACCCCCAGGTTTCGAACCTGTGACCTTCCGCGTGTTAGGCGGATGTGATAACTTTCCCTACACCATGGCTACACAAGGGATTAGAGATGGTCCGTAACTGGTTAACGTAAAAAGGGATTCTTTTCCCCAAAAGATCCTCTGAATGCCCTCCAAGAATGCGAGTTAAATAAAAAAAAAATTCCCAAAATTTTTTGGGGATCCAACACAAAAAAAAATCGTAAAAAGTTGCCTCTATCTAACCCTCAAGTAAGAGCGGAAGAAAAAAAAAAAATTATTATCCAAAGCCCCCCAAAAATTTCTAAAAAACCAAAAAATTACCCCCGGGTTTTCCCCGAACCTGGGACCTTCCGCGTGTTAGGCGGATGTGATAACCACTACACCATGGGTACACAAGGGAGGAGAGATGGTCCGTAACTGGTTCACGTGAAATGGATTCTACCCAAAAAGTTTCCCCTTTTCCGAATGCCCTTCACGAGAGAATGCGAGTTAAATAATAAAAAAAAATTGCAAACTTTGGTGATCCAAAAACAAAAAAAATCGTACAGATCCCTTTTAATCTTACTGCAAGTAAGAGCGGAAGAAAAAAATTTTTTAGCCAAAGCCCACCAAATTATCGGGGAAAACCTTAGGGAAAAACCCCCCCTTTTTCCCGAACCTGGGACCTTCCGCGTTTAGGCGGAGGGAAAATCCACTACACCATGGTTACACAGGTGATTAGAGATGTTCCGTAACTGGTTAAACGGGGAAATGGATTCTATTCAAAAGATTCTTTTTTAAAATGTCCCCACAGAATGCGATTTTAAAAAAAAAAAATTCCAAACTTTGGGATCCAGCAAAAAAAATCATACAGATCCCCTCATCTTGTTTTGCAAGTAAAAAAGGGAAGAAAAAAAATTTTTTTTATCCAAAGCCCCACCAAATTATTTTAAAAAAACAAATGTACCCACCGGGTTTTCCCGAACCCGGGGGCCCCTTCCCCGGTGTTAGGCGGATGTGATAAACACTAAAACCATGGGTACCCAAGGGAGGAGAGATGGTCCGTAACTGGTTCACGTAAAAGGGAATTTATTAAAAAACATCCTCTGAATGTCTCACAGAGAATGCGAGTTAAATAATAAAAAAAAAATTCCCAAAAACTTTGGGATCCAACACAAAAAAATCGTAAAGATGCCCCATCTTTCGGAGGGAGAGTAAGAACGGAAGAAAAAAAAAATTTTACCCAAAAGGCCCCCCCCAAATTATCGGGAAAATTTAATGTACCCCCCCTTTTTTTAAACCGGGGAACTTCCGCGTGTTAGGTTGATGTGATAAAACCCACCCCAACCATGGGTACAAAAGGCAGGGGGAATGGTCCGTAAGTGGTTCAGGGAAATGGATTCTATTAAAAAAATCCTCTGAATGTCTCACGGAATGCGAGTTAAATAAAAAAAAATTCCAAACTTTGGTGATCCAACAAAAAAATCTTTACAGATGCCCCCCCTTTACTGCAGGAGGGGTAAAAAATCGCAAGAAAAAAAATTTTTATTCAAAGCCCCCCCAAATTTTTCAAAAAACTAATGTACCACCGTTTCGAACCTGGGACCTCCCGCGTGTTAGGCGGATGTGAAAAACCCCCAACACCATGGGTACACAAGCGAGGGGAGATAGTCCATAACTCCCCCCCTAAATTTTGGGATTTTATTTTAAAAAAATTCTCTGAATGTCTAAACAGAATGCAAAGAAATTTAAAAAAAAAAAATTCCCCAAATTTTTGGTGATCCAAAAAGAAAATCGTACAGATGCCTCATCTTACTGCACGAGGGGTAAGAGCGGAAGAGAAAAAATTTTATCCAAAGCCCACCAAATTATCTGGAAAAACTAATGTACCCACCAGGTTTCGAACCTGGGACCTTCCGCGTAAGTTGGGGGCGGATGTGAAAACCCCCACCCATGGGTCCAAAAGGGGAGGAGAGATGGTCCGAAACCCGGTTCAGGGAAATTGATTCTTTCAAAAGATTTCTGAATGTCTTTTGGCCAAAAACGGAGTTGTTAAAAAAAAAAAAAAATTCCAAGCTTTGGTGATCCAAAAACCGGAAAAATCGTATAGATGCCTCCCCCCTTACTGCACGAGTAAAGAGCAAAAATTTTATCCAAAAGCCCACCAAATTTTCAAAAAAATACGTACCCACCGGGTTTTCCCGAACCCGGGCCCTTTCCCCCGCGTGTTAGGCGGATGTGATAACCACTACCCCAAATGGGTACAAAAGAGAAGAGAGATGGTCCATAACTGGTTCGCGTAAAATTTTATTTTTTTCCCAAAAGATTCTCTGATTGTTTTACAGAATGCGAGTTAAATAAAAAAAAATTCCAAACTTTGGTGATCCAACACTGAAAATCGTACAGATGCCTCTTTTCTTATTGCCCCGAAAATTAATCCCGGGAAGAAAAAAAATTTTTTATCCAAAGCCCGCGAAATTATTCTCAGAAAAAACTAATGTACCCACTGGGTTTTTAAAAATCAGATTTTTTAAACTCTGTAGGCGCGTGTCAAAACTTTTACTCCTTTGAAATGTTTCGGACCCAAAAAATTTTTTGGGAAATTTTCAAGGACTTGGGATTACAGTTTGTGAATTTATTCGGTTTGCCTATTATATTCGGGATGGGTTATTATTCTTGGGTGGCGGGGTCCATGATGTGCAGATTGATAAAAGTTTTCGATTTTCCAAACTGTTGGGAAAACATCTTTTAGCAACCTATAAAAAAGGTTTTTTGAGAATATCGAAACTCCTGGGGCTTCTGGGGTGATCTTTTAAAAAACTTGGGTTTTAAAAGTCTGGGTAACTTTAGGATGAATGGGTTAATAGAAAAACCCAAAAAAAAGGAAAACCCTTACTGTATTTTTCAAAAAACCAAAAAATTTCATTGCAAAATTATTTTAAAAAATTAATCTTATACGTAAAAAAAACAAATAGTGTAATGCCCCTCCAACACAAATTGTTTTTTGGGTTTTTAAATGCGCCCCTTTATACCCCCCAAGACCATTTTTTTCAATACCTATAACCTTCTGTATTTTACTTTATCTTTTAAACCCCCCTGAAATTTTTTTTTGGGGCATTTATATTCTTGCAATACCTTTTAAGTAAAACAAAAAAAAATATTTAAATTTTGCATGAATTTTGAAACGAAATTTGTTTTTTCAAAATTTTGGAAAAAATTTCAAGAAACTAGCGGACCCGACAGACATTTCCCGTGCCCCGCATCTTAAATTCAAAAATTCCAAAATTTTATGAAAAAACCAAAAATCTGGAACCTTTTTTGGGCGAAAAAATTTTTATTATAAAGTTTTGGCCTATTAAGTCATTACATATATTGTTATCACCCGATCAATCGATAGCGGGGTGAGTATGTTTACCAAAAGGGGAAATTAAATGTAGAGGCTTTTGAATAAGAACTTAAACTTGGTTTTTAAATTAAAAAATGAAAAAGTTGAGACCCAAAACTATTTTTTATAAACAGGTATATTTATTAAATTGTCAAAAACTTAATTTATCGTATGCCATTGGATTTCAATGGGTTTTTTAATTTTGAGGGGTATAAGGGAAAAAATCCGATGGTTTTCCAACTCAGAACACGCAACATATAATTGGCTGTAAAAAAAAACACGGATTTTCGAAATTTGCCACAAATTTTTATTGTTTGACCTTGAGGGCTTTATTAATAGTCATAGCAAATGCCCAGAGAATTTGGGAATTTGGGATAGGTGGGTCTGAAGGGAAAACTTTTGGGGTCCCGCGGTAAAAATACAACCCTTTACCTTTTAAAATTTTTTCAAAAAAAAAAGGGGGGAAACGTTTAAAAAAAAAATTTTAAAACATCTAAAGCAAACCCCAAAAACTCTTCTTAGTGACATCATTAGGCCCTTTATAGTAATTACGGGCCAAGTTTGTACGGGGTTTGTTAGAAGTGAAACACACAAATTCTTTCTTTTATTAGTATAGATTTCTGATAAGAAATAATTTTAAATAAAAAAAAATCCAGCCGTGTGTTTAGGAAGAGTTTAGTCATATACACACTCACACACAAAAGATTTATATATATAAAGATATACCGTATCATGGTTTTTCTAGCCGCGCATTAGCAGAATAAAAAGCACACAGGAATAAAAAAATGTGCGTTTTGGTTTTGATTGGTATATTTTTAACTAATTGCGATATCAGACCGAATTGTGAATCTAAACCATTCTCGACTACACCGGAACAGACACAAAAAATTTCATCAAAATCGGTCCTCCTGTTTAGGAGGAGTTTAGTCACATACACACGAATAGAAGATTTTTATAAATAAAGATATATATTCTAAAAAATTTAGAAAAAATTATTTCGGTTATTTAAACATGTACCCATCATGTTTCAAACCTGCAACTTTTATATATAGTTTGGCAGTTGTGATAACCACCACATAATGGGAACGCTTCTGAAATTGGTTTATCGTTACGTGGTTCAAGAGCTGCTTCATGTAATTCCACAAAAACTTGTCGATGGCGTTTTTTTACTAATGATTGATTTTGAAAAGCATGTGTGCGAGACTGGACATTGACGATTTTCTCTCTCTCGTTAGCTTTCCCTTTTCAGAAATCCCACCCTATCTTTAAATTCTAAAGTATTTACGAGAATATTAGTACATCCAGATTCCACCTCATTATCCAGTAAAAAATCAAATTACTCCGCCATGTTTCGAACCTGGGACCATCCGCGTGTAAAGTGGATGTGTTAACCACTACATCATTCGTAACATGCAGGGCTGCCTTTTGCATTTGTCGATAGCAAATCATTTTTAAATATCTTCATTTTGTTTCAAGAATGTATTGTAAATCAGAAGACTTGCCAATGAAGAGGAGAATGAAGAACTTATCGACATGTCAAAGTTTCCTGTTGTTAAAGTGTAAATTTAAGCAGGAAGAGCTCCTAAATTTTAAGTTGCAATTTTGCAGAATACACAGAAGTTTCTCACAAAACAACACAAAAATAAACATTTTAATGACATTCACAACAGTGCATTTAATTTTAAAATATTTTTGTCAAGGTATATAGCAATAAAACAAAAATATAGGCAAATTAACATAAGATATGAAATGTACCAACTGTGACAGCTTTAATACACCTAGACTTTGATAGTTTGCGTAAAATAATGCAAATACAAACCAAATTTTGAAAAAAAAGCAATGGAAAAAAACACCTGAGTCCACATTAGTGAATAAATTACATTAATATCATTTTAAAAAATTTTAGTAAAAAAAAACAGTTTTTTTTAATTGTCTTTATTTTAAAGTACCTATAAGGGTTTATTTACTTTATATATTTTTTTTGAGACTTTTTTTTAGGCTTTTTTATGGGCTTCCAAAGCATCTTGTAATTACAAGGGTTCCATGAATCGACAAAGTTTGAAGACTAGTGCATTTAAAAATTTCCCTTTCCAAAATAGAGAGGGATTGATAAGAAGGCCAATAGTACAAAATAAGCTTCCAACAAGGTAAAATAATAACTGAGGTATCAGAATGAAGGAAATGTGTTACTCTTACATATCATAAGTTCATTTCTCACAACATAGTCACCACTAATAGTTTCACGTTTGTTCAATCGTTCTATCCATTTCTTCATTCCGTCCATGTAGAATAATTCTGTTTTGCTGCTTATCCATTTGCTCGCCAGGAAGCCGCTCTGAACTTCGCATCCATTGAAAAACATTGACCTTTCAAAGTCTCCTTCAGTTTTGGGAATAACCAAAAATTCGACGGTGCCAAATCTGGGCATAAAGGAGGTTGGGAACCACCGCGGAATTTCAGTTTTCCCATGACGTCCTCTCTGTTTGTGCACTGCAATGCGTCTTCGCATTGTCTTTACGCAAAAAAAGACATTTTTTTCATGTGTTGATTCTGCGGATGCGTTGCTTAAGGGGACGTAATATTGCACAGTACCTGTGTGGGATACAGCCCCTGGGTGACCGTATTCCTTGATTGTCAGCGTGAGCTAGAGGTGTAGTTTACGAAAGGAATAGACATTTTAAATTTAATATGACTTTATTAAGAATAGAACTCAAATGTCTAACAATTCTAGAAAAATTTTAAATAGCGAGAATCTAGAATGAGAACAAACACACATAAAGATAGCAAACCGAATCGCATAACTTAGACCACTTTCTCTAAATAATTACCAATCCGCCTTCTATCACGCACAATATTATACGTCCTAATATCAAATAATCAGTCCTACCCTAATCAAACCTAAGATTCGATATCTATATGGAAACGTCTGGGCGCGCGTGCAATGGTATGCACCTTGTAGTAATAGCTGGGTTTCCAGGTAACTTCCAGAGTGGCTGTCAATTCACGCTTGTATCTCTTCTCAAACATAACATTCCCCAAATTGCCTACCCTGCTTACTGAAACTTCAGTTCTTTTTAAAAGCTATCTTATTTGCATTTCTTGTTCACATTTCGCTTCTGGGTTTTGCTGGAAAAGAGTTGCCATTAACTTTGACCACCAAAGAACCCAGGAGGTTATGTTAAAGAAAAAGACGAGGGAGCCTGTCACACCTGTCGGATTTCACCGTCAATCCTTTAGTCAAATATTCCGTGTAGAGCACACCTCACTTTGCATCCCAAAAGATAGTGGAACATGACTTTTGCTGCTGACATTAAAAGTTTAGGAATTTTCTGACACTTGGAGAACCAGGATGATGATATTTCCTGTTATCTGGGTTATAATGATGAATCCAGGATTTTAAAGTTCAGGCATCCGGGCAATAAAATGGATATGCAGACAACCAGAATCTTTCGTGTACGCAATGAAAAATGAATAGAACGATTGAACAAATGCAAAACTGTTAGTGTTTGATCGCGTTGGAGTTTACAATATTGTTACGAATTTTGTGTAAATAGTGCAAATAATTTGTATATTTGAGTGTTTAATGCATTTATATTACTTTTATGTTATGTTTATTTCATGTTAAAATTGTACCATTCACAAGCAATGCCGCCCCTTACGTTATAATGGCGATCCAATGAGAACTTCTATGAAATCTTGGAGGTATATTTCGTTGGCAGCATTTTTAAAGACTTTGGCGACCATTTTGGCGTCATTGGTGTCCATGTTATGAAAGCCTGAACCCTCTGAATCTTCAGAAAGTAGTAGATCTCTCTCCACCAGTGTCATCACGTTCAATGACACGAGCCGTTATATTTCTGGAAGTTTCTGTCACGCCTATAAAGATGCTCGCCTGAACGGCGAGTCTGATTAAAACCAGCGAGTAGTGAGAGGATTGTTTGATACCGGCTGTGCTTGTGAACAATCTTACTTACGTATTTTAAACACCGGGTGTTATTGTGTTTGATTGCTGTTGAAGGTGTGAAAACCTTTGGATATTACCTGTGAATATCGCCGCTGAATCCTGTATTTAAAGGGGATTGAAGTTTGATAATAAATTCACATCGCTCTTAAAGAACTGCTTATTTTCTTTGTGACTGTTTTGCATAAAACTTAGAACCTCAGATCTACGTAACAATATATAAGAATAATAAATTTCCTCTTCATTCTGATACCTCTGTTGTTACTTTACACTGCGCGAAACTCCTATTTGATACTATTTTTTATTTTATACTATTTTATTTTATTGGAGACCTTACTTATCAATCACCCCTCGTATTTACCAATTGCATTCATTTCTTTTCTATGTGTTATATAGATATAAAGTGACAATGACCAAATGTTGCTAAATATACATTTATTAAGAACAAATATGTGCATATATGGCTGCAAAGTTAAGGAGTTAAATAGAAACATCATGAAAAATGAAATATTGAATTATATCAATCTATCATCTCATCGCTTTCGTCTCATTTCTCGTCTTTGTCCTACGCTACCGTCCGACCTCCTCGTCTGAATCAGGGGGCACCCTCATGGTCTATTACGTCATTGTGGATCGTACTGCTTAATAATCGGGTAGATAAACCACAACGCACACTGTTGTTCTACCGTTCTACCGCAACTGCTGTTGTAGAACGAAACATTCAACGCTTGCGCATACTGTATCTTGTGGATTGTCGGTCCAGTTACTCCATGACAGCCTGGTTGCGTTTTTTTTTCACACGTGTTAGTGAGCTTTCAAAGTGTTTAAGATGATTGTTGTGAATTTGGTTCCGCAATCTATTTTTCGAAGGCTTGTTAAGCCACATGAAATCCATCGTCAACTTATAGAGATTAATGGTGAAAATGTTATGAGTGATGGAATGATGAGAAAATGGGTTCTCTCAACATTTCAATGAGGGGAGCACCAATGTTCATAACAGTGTAGGGAGTGGGCGGCCTTCTGTTGTTAAAGATGGTTTGGTTGTGTGACAGTTCACGCGTCTACATTAACATGTCCTTTTGGGTTCTTAGCCAGAATTAATTAAGTAATTTTTTTCCAAAACCTAAAACCCAAGAAGTGAAACGAATAAAAGATACAAATTAGAAAGTTTTTAAATATCAGGTGTTTGAGTAAGCTGAGGTGGCAATTAGGGGAATGTTAAGAAGAGAGAAGAGTGCGTGATTCTCTCAATTGTAAAGTACACAACAAGAGTGTTATGCCTCGAAGATGGTTTCATTAGGTCAAGGTGCATACCGTTGCACTCGAGTAAATACACAACTTCCTTAAGATTGATCGGTGATCGGATTAAGATAGGATTGACTATTTAATATAATGACTTGAGATATTATTGGAATTGAGCTTAAGCGAGTTAGTTATTGATAGTGGTCCGAGTTACGTTATTTCGGTATTATTTATATTGTGTGTTTTGTCATCGTAGATTCTCTCACTTATATTATTATTGTCTGATCTGTTAGAAGCTTAAGTTTGAAGGTCTTAATAAAGACAGTTCTAGCATTCTATGGAACCTTCTAGCTCCTTTTCGTTAATCCTACACCTCAGCTCACGCTAATAATCAATGAGAAGGGCACCCGAGGGGGAGCGATTTCACAGATTGAAAAAGTGAATGAGAAAATTGGAGAAAACTGACCATTCACAATATGATTGCTTTGTAATGTTTCCACACATTTTTAAAACTGTTTATTGTGGTATGCCTTTTCTTGAAGAGAGTATAGACAAAGTTTATTTCCCTGATATGAAAATGCTTGTTGCAAAATGGAGGGCAACTACAGGTTAGGATGAAATAATGGGAACATCCATTTAAAAATGAATCATCCTTCGACCGTCAAATAAACGGTCTCCCCGTGTCACAACAGTGTGCCACCTTGTGACGGTGAAAGGGAAGGTATCAGTTAAGCATTTGACAGTGGGATAGTTGCATTAAAAATTTCTCTTCTGGCAAAGCGTCATTATAACCGACCTCTCTGACGTGAAAAGAGACATGAAGCTCACCTCTCTGGAGCGTCCGCGCGGAACAACCAATCTTGTGGATGTTTCAAGGACCACTGCGTCAAGGGTTAGTCAAGGGAAGACAGTCTACACAAATCTAGGTAAGGTGTCTTCTAAGAAGCTCAACAGTGGGCGAAAGTCGAAGGACCGTGATAGACGAGTTTTGAAGAGAAGACAAATTGCAAAAATGCAAAACTATACTGCCGCAGATAACGTCCGAGATGAATACTCACCTTCACCAAGAATACAAACCAAATTTCATTTGAAATCATTTTTTGAATGCAATATATATAATACGCTAAAATATAATTTTAAATTGCGCAAATAGAAAAAAATTATTCAAAGGTCCCAACGAATGAACGCCTCGTCTGGTACTAGAG